TTTGGGGAAAATTTGGGGAGAATTTGGGGAGAATTTGGGGGACATTTGGGGAAAATTTGGGGACATTTGGGGGGAAATTTGGGGAAAATTTGGGGCATTCAGGGGAATTCAGGACGTTTAGGGAAATTTGGGGCAGTTTTGGGGTCACTCTCAGGTCATTTTGGGATCAGTTTTGGGGTCACTTTGAGGTCACTTTGGGGTCACTTTGAGGTCACTTTGGGGTCACTCTCAGGTCAGTTTCGGTGTCACTTTAGGGTCACTTTGGGGTCAGTTTTGGGTCGCTTTGGGGTCAGTTTTGGGGTCACTTTGGGGTCACTCTCGGGTCACTTTGGGGTCAGTTCTGGGGTCACTTTGGGGTCAGTTTTGAGGTCACTCCGTCCCCACCTGTAGAGCCCCAGGTCCGTGAACCAATCCTGCACCAGCAGCACCACGTGGCACACGGTGAACAGGAACGCCGCGATCTGCAGGGACTGCCCCGGGCCGTTCATTAACCCAATTAACCTCATTAAACAAACCTCATCGGCATCATTAACCCCCCCCTCCCCTGCCGGCCACGCCCCCTTACCTGCGTCTCCACGTAGGCGTGGGGCAGCGCGAATTCCGGCGGCAGCTTCCGGTCGTTGTTGATCAGGTGATCGAGGTGGGCGGGGCTGAGGATGGGCTGGGGGAGGGAGGCGTGGCCAAAGGGTGAGGCCACGCCCACATCCAGGTATGGTAATGGGGGGGGGGGTATGTGTTAATTAAGGTAATTGGGGTGATTAGGGTGTCCTGGGGTAAATACGGTAATTGGGGTAAATGCGGCGATTCAGGATAATTACGGCGAATGCGGCGATTTTAGAATAATTACGGTTGTCTGGGTTTGTGCTGTAATTTAGGATCATTACGGTAAACGCGGCGATTTAGTGTCATTACGGTAACTGCGGGGATTTAGGATAATTACGGTAATTAGGTGGGTGCGGTGATTTAGGATAATTACGGTAGCTGCGCTAATTTAGGGTAATTACGGTAATGCGTTAATTTAGGGTAATTACGGTAACTGCGCTAATTTAGGGTAATTACGGTAACGCGGTAATTTTAGGGTAATTACGGTAATGCGGTAATTTTAGGATAATTACGGTAATGCGGTAATTTTAGGATAATTACGGTAATTAGGCAGTGCGGCAAATTTAGGATAATTACGGTAGCTGCCTTAATTACGGTAATCTGGGTAAATACGGTAATTTAGGTAATTTGGGATAATTACAACAACCAATTAACGGCAATCGGGGTGATCAGAGTTAATTAGCCATAAATTAAGCGCAAGTGCGAGGTAATCAATGCTAATTATGGACGGCTTAGGTGCTAGTCATTAACTAATTACGGACTAATTAAGCCCAATTAAGCGACTTTTGGGCTAATATTCCCTACTTTTGAAGTTATTAGCGCTAATTAACGGCAATTAGAGACAAATACCCGCTGATTTTGTTGCCGCGGAAGGGTGACCGAGGTTAATTAGCGTTAATTAGCGCTAATTACCTGCGTGTCCAGGAAGAGCACGCGCTCCTGGGTGACGAAGAGATCGATGCCCCCGGTCTGGGCCCCGCCCCTTTCCCGCAGCTCCGGCGGCTGCGGCCGGAACACGAAGGAGCTGCACCAGTATA